CTTTGATGCTACTGACCCTGATGAAGTGCGAAATCCTCTTTGGTCTGAAGGAAGCCAGCTGCAAAGCCCTTCCCCAGACTGGGCTCCTTGGAACCCGAAGGCCCTGAATTTCTGGAGGCTTCCCCCAGAGCCTGAGGCGGACGGTACAAGCGCTCTACCACCTCAGCCACATCCCAGCCCTTGTTTGATTTTTGTGTTTTGGGGTTTGAGACAGGGCCTGGTGTTACCTTTGCTCAGGCCGGCCTGGAACTTGTGGTTCTTGTACCTTTGCCTCTGCAGTAGCTGAGATTACAGGTGTGCACTACCACACCTGGCATGTTGGAGATGGGGCAGGATGAGGGAAAGCGCAAAGGTCTCCCACTGTGGTACAGACGTGAAATCTGTTAGGGAAGTGCCAGGTATTATGTGCCCCTCACGAAGACCCCCAATGCACATTGGGATATCCAACTTCCTGGCTTTTGTTCCATCTGTCCACCTGGGGCTCCCCCCAAATAAGAAAATAATGCTTGGCCATACAATGCCCTTGAGAAAATTCAGTGAGCTCATCAAATCATACCAATCACGATCACAAAGCTGCTAAAGCACACTGAATGCCAGCTTCTCTGTGTGTGTGTGAGAGAGAGACAGAGAGACAGACAGACAGACAGAGACAGAGAGACAGAGGAAGAGAGGAAGGAAGGGAGAGAGGGATGGAGGGAGGGAAGAAGAGAGGAAAGAAAAGAAAGGGAAGGGAGGAAGGAAGGAAAGAAGGGCTGGAAATGTGGCTTAGTGGTAAAGTACTTGCCTAGCATGAATGAAGCCCTAGGTTCTATTCCTCAGTATACCCCATACACAGAAAAAGCTGGAAATGGTGCTGTGGCTCAAGGGACAGCACCCAGGGACAGCGCCCAGGCCCTGAGTTCAAGCCCCAGGACTGGCAAAAATAAATAAATAAATGAAGAGGAGCTGGAGAAGCAGGGCTGGGGGAATGGCGTGGCTCTCTTGCTCAGAGCTGGAGCTCTACCACTTGAGCCGTGTGTCCAGCCCATCTTCTTGTGGTATTAGAGATCAAACCCAGACTCTTCCCCATGCGAGGCGTACGCTCTGCCACTGAGCTATGGCTCCAGCCCCAGCTACCATTTCATTTAATCATCTCAAAAACTCTGGGAGGATTGTGGTTCAAAGCAAGGCTGGGCAAGAAAGTCCACAAGATTCCTACCTCCAATTAACCACCAAAAAGCCAGAGGCCGAGCTGTGGCAAATGCTACGGCAACAGCCTTGTGCAAAGATGTCAAATGAGAGCGTAAAACCCCGAGTTCAAGCCCAAGGACCGGCACAAAAATAAACAATAAAAACGCACAGGGCAGAAGTGACAGCAACAGGGGGATTCTGCAGTCTCTCTCTGGGTACAACTTGCCAATATTTAGCGCTTTAAAGTGTAAGGACAAGCCGGGCACCGTGGCTCACGCCTGCAATCCTGGCTACTCAGGAGGCTGAGATCTGAGAATCATGGTTCCAAGCGAGCTTGGGCAGGAAAATCCTTGACACTCTTATCTCTAATAAACTACCAAAAAGCTCAAAGCAGAACTACGGCTTCAGCAGTAGAGTGTCAGTCTGGTGGGAAAAACAAAAAGCTCAAGGACAGCACCCAGGCCCTGAGTTCAAGCCGCAGGACTGGCCTTAATTAATTTAGGAAATTCATGCCACCAACACATCTTAGTAGATGCGAAGAGATACACACGGGGTGAACGTCCTCAATCCGAGAAGCTCCAAAATGTCTGCCCTTTGGCGGTGCCGACGGGACATCCCCAAGGAGACTTGTTCTCCCTCCACCCTAGCTGGCGGATTGCAGTTAAAACACACAACGAAAACGACTGCATACACAGACAGACATGACCACGCACACGCACGCACACTCACGCGCACAAACACGCCAGCTGCAGCAGGGTAGACGCAGGGGAGGATTCTGATGGGGCAACTGGCAACCCCCCCCCAAAATGACCACCAGGAGGCCGGAGGGTGTGTTGTTAAAGTGGGGGTGGGGGGGGGATGAATGGAGGAAGGGTGGGAGGCAGTAATAAGATTCAACATTTCACATTTGCATGTGAAAATGAAGCCAGGCCACTGGAGGGGAGGGGAGGGGAGGGGAGAGGAGAGGAGAGGAGGGGAGGGGCGGGGAGGGGCGGGAGGGGCAGGAGAGATGGGGGAGCATGTGTGGTGGGGTGACACTAATCAACCCACAGATTGAACTCAAAGCCCCAGGTACAACTACTTAAATAATAAAAAATAAAATTAAAAAGACAGCAGGCCTCAGGTTATATACCCAAGGCATGCCCAGGAAGGAATTCGGTGTCTAGACTGCAAAATCCCCCTAAAAGCCCCAAACTCAAGCCCCTGGGGCCCCAGGTCCACAGGAGAAGGGGCCGCCATGTCCCCACAGAGAGTTTCTAGTTCCAGGAGTTCCTTCAAATTTTTTTGTTGTTGTTGTTGTTGGTCGTGGGGCTTGAACTCTGGGCCTGGGCGCTGTCCCTCAGCTCTTCAGCTCAAGGTGAGCGCTCTACCACTTGAGCCACAGCGCCACTTCTGGTTTTCTGGTGGTTTATTGGAGATAGGAGTCTCACAGCCTTTCCTGCCTGGGCTGGCTTTGAACCATGATCCTCAGGTCTCAGCCTCCTGAGTAGCTGGGATGACAGGCGTGAGCCACCGGTGCCCAGCTTTGTTCCTT